ATCAGGCAGATCACCAAATTTCTGCAGCACCTTATTATTACAACTTAAGTATTTAAAATTTATTAGCTAGACAAAATATATGTGACATTTCAGAATGATATTTTTGAAAGCAAATCACAAGAAAAATAAAATATTTGCAAATAACAAATGATTTACAAAATAAAGTAAAGAAAAGAAAACAGAAATTAACATGCATTCTTGATAAGCACCCCATTGAAATTTTACTCTATTCATGCTGCTATCAATCTTGTGTCTTTCTTTCAATGCACTTTTTTCAGCCTCACCTTAAGAATGATGTCATGAATCATATCAAACTCATCGGCCTCCTCTAGAAGTTGTCTGAAATGTAACACCATTTCTGATTGCCTGGTACTAGGGACGTCAGTTAAACTGCAGGAAAAAATCATACAACACTCTAATAATTCATGATTCATTTTAAATTCCAATTCCAGTAAAAGAAATGGATTTGAAATGTTCATAATGCACATTTGGAGAGCACTAAGTTTCTTAAGCTAATTTTTCATTTGGACTTCAATGTTACACTTTTATTGGCTAAAAGCTAACACTCGAATAAATACAATATGACTATTATTAACCTTCTACACATTCATGTCTTAGCAATAAAATAAAATGTATTATCCACAACTGCTATCTACAATAATTATTCCTCAACAGACACGGTTCCTACCATGAGTTGGGGAGGGACTGCATCACACAGAAGTTATGTCCCTTTGGATCCATGAAGATGCGAGTCCCTCGGTGGATTTCAGGAAGTCGGTGAAGCATGACATCCTCAGCTTCATCCTTCAGGAGGAGATCAATCAACCGTAACTCAAAGTCACTTGTCTCATGCTCTGAAAATCAGAGATATTTAATATGAAAAGATTTTAAGTTACCACAATACCTTTTACAAGTAAGATTTTGTTACTTAATATTGAGAATGTTTTCAACAAAAGTGAACTTGTCTAATACTATCATTACCTGTGACTTAAGTTTAATACAAAAAATATTGGATGTTGTTTGCATCTTCGAATGCAACAAATCAAAGGACAATCAAATTTTTGTTAGCTGTGACTGCCAACTACACTGTATTATCCCTAACCTTTGGCTGGCTGTGTGTTCTCCTTCCCTCCTTTCTTCATCACAAAGTTGCCTAAGAAGGCCTCCCCATAATCTGTTACTATGGCGACATTATTGGTACTCAGAGCCACATCTCTCACGGTCAGCTGACGTCGGATGGCCCAGCGACATCTCTTTAGACTGGGACTAGCGGCGTGCCAGACAAACACCTATAGCAGGTAATAAAACATTAATACTTACTGTAAATGTATTATATTTGGTGAGTATGATATTTGGCAGAAATTCATTTTTCAACAAGTTAGTGTACTTTTGATTTTGTGCTATCTGAATGTGCTTGATATAAATGTATGATAAACAAGACATTTGACAACAAATTTGATTTACCGGACTCTGATTTCCACCAAAATCGCTAAATAGAATACTGTAGACATACTATTTTCCCTGAGGTCATAATCTCGATTTCTCTTGAATCCGCAGGTAGAAAATTATGCGGATTTCTTTGACTCTCAGTATATTCCTTACAAGTGTATTTAAATACGATGGGACAAATTTCGGTGGACAATTGCTGACCGCGTACATATCATAAATTGATACCACCCAGAAACAAGTACTTCTACAGTACATCACTAAATATAATACGTTTACAGTGAAAGGTTAAACTCTAGCCCACAATCTATTATCATGAGCAGTCACATATATTAAACATGATGACATTTTAGCTCACCTTTCCGCTGGTATTGAGGAGTAAGATGCGTAGTTCTGTACCCCCTCGTTCTCTCAGGACATCAAGATCAGACAGGTGGTCCAAATTTCCTCCAGACACCAAAATCTTCTGGATTTCTTGCCATCTGTGAAAAAAAATCACATTGTTTACAGGTACATTCAACACTTATATTGAAAACAAAAAAATTAACTTTGTCTGTGTGAAAGAAATACTATTTCCATACTACCCAGTCATTGAACTCTTTCATACAATCATTTCTATCAATTTATTTTTTTTAAAGAAAACCTACTTGGTAGCGATTTTCCTGCATTGGTACTCATGTAGGACATAGATATCCCCACGCGTCGTCATACACACAGTTGCCGCGTCAGAACACGACACCATGACGATGGAGATGTCGGGGTGATTTAGGTTGGACACTTGTCTTAACTGGGTCTGCTTCTCTGCTCCCTTAGGGTGACCTAAAAATAGTAACAAAATGTTTAAAGTTCATTAGACTAAATTAATATCAAGAATTACCCCTCAAGGTATAAAAGATCTCAGGCAAATTTTTTCTTCACTGAGGCTAAAGATCAAGTTCAAGGTCATCTGATTTTGGAATAATGATTTTAAGATGAGTCATACCTAACTGTCCGGCATTCAGTCCACATGTGTACACAGCATCACTCGTGTACAAGACAGTGTGAAATCTGCCAACACACACACCCTTAATAGACTTCCCCTTAATGTTTTTACCAGTCACCTAAAAAAGGAGAAATTTTACCTCTTAACATCTGTACATTATGCACACTGCAGATAAATCATTCAAGTTATCTGCCTTACAAAGAGAGACTTGTTTGACTGCAATAAGACATACATACAAAAGGCATGCAAGCTTTGATCAAAAAAGCTTATTTTACATGGTTTAAAAAACCAAATTTGGTTGTCACTATAAAGCTATCCTCCAAGTTTGAAATCAATAATTTTTGACATGATAATCTCGATTGGAACCATTATCTACTAATCTCCTATCTAGTCATTACCTGTTTAGGGATGAGGGATTTAGGAATAGTTGAGGACTGTCCCAACTGATGACTATCATTCAATCCACAGGAGTACACTGAACCACTAAAAACATAATGGGAAATGATTTTAAAAATTTACATGAATGTAAATATTGAAATAAGCATCCACACCAGCAAAAAGAGACCATTTCATGATCAATGTGTAAAGAGGAAAACTAAGCATAGGATGATCATGATTCTAATACATGTACATATCATCAATCTTTATTACATAATATCTCTGAGTACTTAATATTCAATGATTTGAATTCAATCCATATCATGATATACCTCTTGTTTACAATACATGACCTACTTACTCAGTGAGGAGGAACACTGTGTGATCTCTAGAGGCCACGACCAGAGTACAGACTTGACCTTTCAGTGTCTCCACCTGCCTAGGAACCTAAAAACAAAGGGAAGATAACTCAAATAAAAATTTTGATTGCTGATTTTTTTCCCTCAGATAATATCATGTGATATTATACTTGGGTATAAAAACTAGTATGCAATGTTATTATCATTTCAGAGGTCTGTCTATAATACAGTTTATAGTCACTTCCTTTTACTGTGTAGGTCTGTTAGTACATGTAAGTACTAACTGTTACCTGTAATATTGTACTTACTGTATAAGTCTGTTCGTCCCCATGCCCTAACCTCCCTCCCTGGCCGTGTCCACAGGTGTACACCTGACCATCAGTCGTCAGAAACACAGAGTGGTATTTACACAACACAGCCTGTAGCAAATACAATAGAGTTTTACTCCCAGTAATCTTGCAACAAAAAGGAAAATAGTCAGTAATGGAATGCAATGATTTCAGAATAAAGAGGCTTTAAAACACACACTTTGGTAGTAGATCATTAAACCCTGCTCTGCTTCCAAATAATTAATTAATCTTAGAATCTTATAATACAGATTGCTTCTCCATTCTCTCTAATATTGCACCCATATTGTAGTCTACGTATACATGTTTATTGCCATGAACTGTTTCCTCATGTCGATAAAATTTTTTCCATAATTATGTCTCCCTGTACTTCTTAACCCGTTCATAGAGACACCTTTCTTACCTCTTTCACTGAGATACCATTCTTACCTCTTTCACTGAGATACCATTCTTTCTGAACTCTTCAATGACCTCTGGGTGACCTCTCCTCTGCTCCTTACCATGACCCAAGGTCAAATTGGTGTTATCTCCCCAAGTATAGACATCTGACAGATCTGTAAGATAAAATGGATAAAATTATGATTCACACTGTTCTACTAAAATAATTGAAAACTGTCAAGTTAAAAAGAATTCTTCTGTAACAAATATTTTCTCGTAAACTTAAGAGAGATACTTTTACTTTTAGATACCAATTATTGCTCATAATTTGCCTGTCACAGAATGGACTATGATTTAGATTTATGATTTCAAAATTTAACTGCAAATAATGAGGGCAACAACAGATTACATGATGTGATATCTACCTCCTTTATCGTACGAGATGTGAGGTGGGCGGTCCTTCATCGCGACATCTAGTGGACTCAGTCCTAGGTGATCCCGAGTGTACAGATCACTGTTGTACTGAAATCATAGAAAAAAGTAGAAAAAGATGGCTTCATGCCTAAAAGATGGTTTTAATGGCGACTCTCATTTGTTTTTGTGTATGCAGCATAGGGCTGGATCAATATATCAGTAATCGGTATATATCGATATTTTTTAGCAATACGATAACCGATACAGAGATGCTTGTGTATTGCTCGATTATTTCAACGTTTAATTAAGAGAAAGAAAAACGTGAAAGTGACTAATATTACGAACGACTTATCTTAAATCGGTTAAACGTATGTAAACATGTCAAAAGTGTAGGGTCGCTACGTAAAAGTCAGCAGCAAAAAAGGCAAAATGTAATTATATTTGTCAACAAGAAGTCGCAAGTTCTGGAGGAACAACGAGCCTATATATTATTACCCGTCTCAGACGGCATCGCAACATTGACCTGTTCGCTACTGTGAAACTTGGAGGCAATTCCGGTAGGTAAAATGGCGCGTCGAAAAAAAAAGTCATGGAATGTAAACCGATATTGCGATAATGAGATATCAATCAGAATTTTTAAGTCATAGTTTATTTTAACTTCGGTAAAATATTTTATCTGCCATTACTTCCACTAGTACGACGTCAAGTGAAGTATCAACACTGTCAAACAGGTCAATGTTGTGATGTCGTCTGTGGCTTCAGAACGTGTATTTAGTACCAGTGCCACTGTATTTACATGCACAAGGGCTTGTCTGAAACCTAAGTGGATCGATGCCTTGATTTTTCTGAAGTAAAAATATGGGCAAATAACATTAATCTGTCATACATTGTCCATTCAAAGAGAATAGAAAAGAAACAAGGATTTAAAATGTTTTATTGTAAATTTATGCTTTTAATAATTAAAAAACACTATCAGCTCTTAAAAAACATGCAAAGAATAGTGTATTCTCATTTGTCTGTATCGGCAATATGTATCGCATATCGCACCTCTGTATTGCAATATGTATCGTATCGAAAAATTTCTTTCAATACCCAGCCCTAATGCAGCAATAGTTAGATTTTATCGGAATCCCCATAATCAGATATTAATCATCAATCAAATGAATTCACATTGTTCATCTTGGCACTTTTCTTTGTGTTTTACTGTATGTATCTTAATAGATGATTTATCACAAATTTTGCTTTAATCAAATTCAACTTTCACAGATGTATTTATACCTGAATAAGAAGTCTGGCTGCGGCCAGCTGTACACATAGTCTCTTTACCTGAATAAGAAGTCTGGCTGGGGCCAGCTGTACACATGGTCTGTTTACCTGAATAAGAAGTCTACCTAGACCCAGCTGTAGGCATGGTCTCTTTACCTGAATAAGAAGTCTAGCCACTGCCAGCTGTCCGTAAAACAAGGCTCTGTGGAGGGCTGTCCACCCTGACTCTGCGTCCTTCAGTGTCAGGTCGCCACCTTTCTCCTCCAGCAGCCATTCCACGATCTCCACTTTACCACAGGAGGCAGCCATGTGGAGGGCTGACCTCCCAAACATGTCATTGTGGTGCCCCGCAGCGTAACACAGTCGGGCGAAAGCCTGGACCTCCTGAAGTGTTCCCTTGGTGATGGCTGCCACCATTTCATAAGCGTGGTTCTTAGAGCGGCACTTGGGGCCACATTCAGGTTCAAAGGTTATAGGCATTGCTTATGGATAAGTAGTGACTTAAAAGTATGTTAACAGTTTAAAATGTTAATGAAATGTTTCTTTTACAAGGAAAAATGAAAACAGGGAAATGAATATAATAAATAAATTAAAGTTGATTATGAATGAAGAACAGGACAGGTCAGCACGGTCCTCTTCAGTGAAGTGGCTGGCTGTATTTACATATAAAACGCTGGATGCCAGCTACAAGTTTGTAAATAATGGATGCCCATACAGGGCAGCCATTGTTGTTTCATCCTCAAAAAGCCATACTTGCATTGGAGGAACCTACAATGAAAACAGAATCTGCTTAGTAGTAATAATAGCATTTTTAATTGCACATGCAGTTTTACGAGCCCAATTTAAATTAAAACAATAGAAGAATTTGTGTTTGCTTTGATGCGCCGTCAATATATTATGCTAATTATTTCTTTTTTCTTGATCCCTAAAGGACATAACTCAATATTATCTTTGCACACTGTTATTAAATTTAATGATCTGTTGTCTGGGCCCTCCTGATATGTTTGTCTGAATTTCCCCTTATGATATGTAGCAACAATTTTGCAACTGTGACACATATTAGTGCTTGCACATTTACTAAAAAGACTTTGTATTTTCTACAAAATCCTGAATGGAATTTTCTCAAATTAAAAAAAAATTGTCTGCACCATACAGGAAATATTGATGCCTTACTCCGTTAAGCGTCGGAACTCACCAAGTTAGCTGAAAGATATTTTACTAAAAATAAAATTCCTGGTGATTGAGACTTCAGAAAAAGACTTCATGACGATAAAACACCTAACATACGAGAATCATACGTGTTCATTTTATGGAGTTTTCGGCCAATTTCATAACAGGAAGTAACCTTGGAAAAGTAATTTTACAGTAATTTTGTTAAGCTGCATATTTCCGGATTCTAATTAAACGGTTCTCAATTAACAGTTCTTTAAACGGAATATTAAAGTAGATTACTGCTTTGATGTTTTAAGTAAACTAATAGATAAATAAGAAATGCAGGTAAATATTACCAGATTACTCTAAAACCGGTTAATTTTTTCTCGGAAATAATAAATCTGACCATAAGTATTTTAACCCTCATCGTGTAAAATTTCCAAATAAGGAAATGAAAACACTCAAATCGCCACTTCCGTGTAAAACACATGTTATGAGTAACACAATCTGATAGAGTGGGTTAATTTAAGGCATTAAATCACTCTGAAAGGAGGGTAAAGATATTGTTATCAACACAAGTCATACAGACCTCGAGGACAATCGTTAAAATGCAGGTAAACTATTTTTTCTCTACTTCTTAAAAAGGAAATTAGGAATGAAATTTTTTTAAAAATACATGAATTAGAAGTTGGTATACATTCGCATTATTTTACTTGATGGTGTAAATAAATGGTTGATATATCTAAGTTCCTTAACTACACACTTCCAACATGTGTAAATGTCTTTTATCCCCCCCCCCCCTTTCATCTCCACTGCTTTCAAAATTTATAAGAAATTTAAGTTCCAAGGGGAAGCATTTTATTTCAATGCTTAGGTGCGATGTTTTATATGTTTCAAGCTCTGCTTCTTAAGTTAAACTTAAATTATGTGATTATGATGACCCTTGGAGGGGTTTGAGGTAATTCCATAATTTGTCAATACATTAGTTCTCGGTCAACACATACTTACTTACTTATCTTATCGTTACTTATCGTTGGTTTCCAATTCAGGCTCCCTAAGGATCCTCTTCATTGGACTCCCTATATCCTACTTCAGTTTTAGTATTACTCACTACGTGACTTCCGGATATTGTAGCCATAAAAAGAATAAAACATTCTTGTGAAGAAGTTTGAAACAATTACTTCTACATGTTCTAGGCCCAACCCAATTTAATATGTAAACATGTAGCTGTATACTTACTTCTCTTCCTCTTCTTTTTATCCCAATGCTGACATTTTCCTTTGATAGGACCCTAATGCTGACACAGAGTGGAATGATGTTCTACGAGCCAAGGGAATCATCCCGCCCAAAGAGAAAGAAGTCTCAGAGGATGATATTGTCAACATCATGGAGGCCACCATTCAAAGCAAAACCACAGGTTTATTAGCCTTAGATAATTTAGTTTGAGTTTTAACACATCATTTGATTGGAGAAAAGAGTAAGTTTATATCGTATAACATATTAAGTTGCCACAATGTATAACTCAGCTTGATGTTGCTCTTAAAACATGATCAATGTTGAAGCCATTTTTGTAGAAAAAAAAGTCTTATTGTTTACACTGAAATTAGAGTAGAAGGAATTAGCAGTTTTAGATGTAAACAGCCCAAAGTTATTTCATATCGAACAACATAGATTAAAATAAGCTTTTTTATTCCTTAAACATGTTAAACATGTAAAATATGCTCTCTTCATATCTGAATTAATTTTTACAAGTAACTATATATTTACAAGTTTTCAGAATGATATATTTTACATGTATTAATCTAATGTTAGGACTCTGTGGGTTATAGCTAAAATCCTGTCATAGTGAGAATATGTACAGTTCTTAGAAGATGTCATTATACCATTAAACATGTTAAATCCAGCTGATTTTGTCTTCTTAGTTCATTTCAACACAGGCATTGTTTATGCTGAAATAATAATTATTAATGCGATGATGAAATATTTCTGTAGATAAAACATTAGAGGATATGACGTTAGATGAACTTAATGAAAGAGAAGATGAGATTGATGAAGAGGAAGAGAGAATTTTTGAAGCCTACAGGTCAGTATTTTATACATGTAAATGTCTACAGGTCAGTATTTTATACATGTAAATGTCTACAGGTCAGTATTTTATACATGTATAAAATGTCTACAGGTCAGTATTTTATACATGTAAATGTCTACAGGTCAGTATCCAGGGTTTAACACTAACTTTCACTGGTTTAGTCCCTTTTATTAAAAAGAAGGATTGGATACTTCCATATTCAAGTGATAACGTTCACCGTAATATTGGCATATGAGTTATATGGCGTCGGTAGTCTAGTGGTTAAGGTGCCGGACTCCAAACCGAAAGGTTGTGAGTTCGAATCCTGGCCGCGGCAAGTCGACGTTGTGTCCTTGGGAAAGGCACTTTACACGAATTTCCTCACTCCACCCAAGTGTAAAAGGGGTACCTGGCTATAGACAGTGAAAGATATTGTCAGAATGTAAGTGTTCTAGCGCTGATTACGGCAGCTTGCACTGAGAAAGATTCTGGATTGTTAAGGTCTGCTGGGGTAATCATGGTAATAATGATTGTAAAGCGCTTTGAGTAGCATTTATGCTAGAAAAGCACTATATAAATCCAATCATTATTATTATTATTATATTCAATGCTTGGTTATTTAATGAGGATTATCACCTGTGTAATGTATTATCCTTTCTGAATGAAATTATTCTGCAGGAAAAATATTAGTAACAAAAATAAATTTTTAAATTCTTTTAGATTTTGTGGAAAGACTTGTGCAATTTGTTATAAAGAATATCATTATAATCTGCTTTGAATATACATGTACGAGGGTTGTCCCAAAATTCCGTAGACAAGCGTTGTTTTCTAGGAACCATATGTCATACATTAATGAAACTTCGTATATAGATTAAACCAACACTATCTAATAAATTTATGGACAAATATGGAATAATTACACAGATTATTCCAAATTAAAACTACTTAAGACACATTTCATTGTCAGGTGTAGGAAGGCAGTGCAATACCCAAAAGTTGCAATTAAAATTTGGTAATATATAAAATCACACGGAAAAGGAATTATTACCCGTAATTTTTAAATGGAAATGAAAATTCTTAATATTGTTTATTAACTATATTTCCTCACATTTTGGTGTTTATGCTTTGATAAATATGAATTTTATGACGTTTTATATACATGGGGTTGAAATCCAACCTTTTGAAAAATGGCGGCTGCATCGGCACAGGCGGCGCACTGGGCTATGACCAAGTGTATTGATCCTGAAATATCAAATTCACTGTTACAGAAATGTACCAGTAACGTGTTTGGTAGACTAGGAAACTTTTTCTCGTCCTAAGTATTTGAAATGACTAAAACAGTTTCTCTATGTAAATGTGAATAACAGTAACTAAAATAAAAGACAAGGCTAAGAAGTGGACAAGAGTTCCATTGTGCAACTCCATTAGAGAAAACAGATGAAAAGCCCGTAGAAATATAGTGTTTTCAAATTAATATTATTTCAAACCAGTAAATGCACATACTTTGTTTTCATATTTAAATGTTTGATCATATCAAGTTATTGATATATTTCACATATATAACTATAACTGTTTTGTTTATTTTAAGAATTTGATTCTGGTAATTAAAATATTTTTTCCAAATATTTGAACCATTGACATTTGTATTTTTTGCATTTGCAGATTGCTGCGGGTGTTAGAGAACGATATCACTTTAAATGTTATAACTCGAAAAGTTTTCAAGTAAACATGATAAGACTTCATAATTTTTCTGCCAAAAACACGCTTTATCCACCCTGAAAATTTTATAAAGATACATCCATTTATTCAAAAGATATAAGCTCAGTCTACGCAATTTTGGGACAACCCTCGTATGTGTGAGCAAGATACCATGATGTTTTATGCCTGCTGTGATTAAGCAGAGCTTGAACTTTTTTGATAATTTTCATTTTGTATGCTGTTTATCGTTACCAGGAGACAAAGAATGGCAGAGATGAGACAGGCTCAGATGAAGGCTAAATATGGAGAGGTCAAGGAAATATCCAAGGTCGATTACGTCACAGAGGTCAACAAGGCGGGGGAAGGTGTCTGGGTTGTTCTACATGTCTACAAACAATCGTAAGTACCACTGAGTAGAAAAAGTACTAACCATCAACAACAACGCACAATTGTTCTTTGTGTATTACAGTTTTGATGATCAATTTAATTTTCTGTAAAAAAAAACATAAAAATCTTTAAAACATTCATCACTCCTATCCCCCAATCTGTAGACTCACTGGAATTTCAGCTTGTTGCCTTTTCTTCATAGATACACTTCAGAAATTACTTCAATAATTTTGTTACCAGAAGATTTCAAAGTAATTATAATTTAATCCATTACTTTTCAAAATTATTGACCACATATCAGTGATTGGAATAAACATTTTACGTTTGGCATGCATTAATCATCATTTACATTTTTTTTTTCTGCTTTCAGAATTCCATTATGTAAATTATTAAATCAACACATATCAACGTTAGCAAAGAAATTTCCTGACGTAAAGTTTTTACGGAGTGAGTCTAGTGTATGCATTCCTAACTACCCAGATAAGAATCTGCCTACGATATTTATATACTTTGAAGGGGACCTTAAAAAGCAATATGTTGGACCACTTGTGTTCGGTGGGATGAACTTTAAACAAGACGGTAAGAATAACTAATGTAGGAATGTAATAATTGTGAATTGATACAAAATTTCTCAGCACCAGATTTGGTTGTACCTTGCTATTCTTATAAATAGCACATAATTACATGTATATGTTAAGAATGTGGTAACTATTAGTTTTAGCTCACTGTGAGTGTCCAGGATATGTAATATGAAGTCTGTTTATGTTTCACATTACCAGAATAAGAAAATTAATATACTATTATTTCCATCTCTAACTTTTTCCCCTGTGATAACTCTTTGAAAGTTAGCGGAGTTGATTTCTTAATAATTCTACCGGAATGTAAATTAGGCAGGACAATAGGTTAGGAGCTAAGGAGGCCTTGTACTGTATGCATGCAAATCTCATGCAAAACTGTCTCTGTGTCTGACGCTAGGAGGCCAAATATGCATGTAAATCTCATGCGACTGCCTTTGTGTTTGACGTCATTGGGCGAGGACTATTGAAATTGGCAAGGGAGACTTCTTGTATTTTAAATCTATCTACATTTAGTCTAAATCTACAATTTTATTTCACAGTGAAATGGAAATATAAGGAATCATTGTCAAGTTAGTTAAGGATGTCAGGGACATCAACAATACTGGGAAACATGGGATAATTTATGCATAAACGGGCTTTGCCCATTATACAGATTATCCCATGTTTCCCACTATTGATGCCTTGGCATTCTGTACTAAAGAGTGATTCCTTAATTATGTAATAGTAATTTAAATAGCTTCCATATTTGATTTTAAGTTTCATTTATAAAATGTTGACTTCTTGGACAATAGCAAAGGTGGGGGGGGGGATCCAAAACTCAGAATTTTCCATGTGTCTCACTGAGTTCTAAATAACAAGGTTTGCTGCACTATAATTTAAATAAAATCATCAAGAAAAAGATTCTGATATCTGTGCTGCTATAAGTGTCTTTTATGTTCTGTTGTAGAGCTGGAGTGGATGTTATCGGAGGTTGGAGTTTTGAAGACGGACTTGGAGGGACCGCCAAAACGTGAAATCCACGACGTCATGGACTCGGCTGTACGACAGAATAGACTGGACGATGGCGACAGTGACGAAAATGACTGGTGAAACACGTGCTCTGTGTCTGTGAACGACAGAAGGAAAAACTGACCTTTATCTCGAAGTGCCCCTTTGATATGTTTTTATGAAATTGAAAAATTGCCAAAATCTGAAACTTATAAAAACAATAAAAGTATATGATCTAACATAATTATGAAGAATAGAGTGCAAAGTATTTACCATCAACAGGGCTGTAAAGATTGATGAAATATAAAGTACTGTAGTTTATTTTCATCATTATGCAGTATTTTAATTACTTTTCAGATTGGAAGATGTTTTTATCTGAAGTGAATGGGGTAAAATTTATAAGAGTTGAACTTATTAACACACTTTATTTGATAATTAAAGCACAAATGTATTTTGTGAAATGTCAAACATCATAAATGAAGAAAAAATGTGTAACAATTTAACATTAAACATGTTAAAAGAGTTTAAGCTATGGTGTTAAATATGTATACAGTGTATATCAGATCAGGGGAGCATTTTCATTTCACGCATTTTCTGGATGAATAGAAACAGACAGTCATAAATGTGCAAAGCAAGTTAACTGTGTTGATGTTTCCGGAAAGACTTGGAACCAATGCATATTTTGAAATTTAAAATAGGCACATTTGTTGTGAATTACAAAATAGTTTTTGATCCCTTTGACTAAATGCACCCCTTTTCCAGATAAACTGCATTTAGGAAAAGGTGGAAATACTAATTGATATAATTAAGAAATAAATATCTGTTATTTCATATTATAATTGTATGAAAGAAAATTAAGTTATTGAATAATTTTTGTTTTTTGCAAATGCTCAGTATGTTTTGACACTTTTACCCCTACTTGCTAGTTACACATATGATGTTACAGTATATAATATGTATGTATGTTTGTTGCAGCTTTTTGTCAGCCATAAATGACATTTTTCACCACCAAGTTTCTAACTTAGTCAAACATTATATGTCATGATGCATACTGTATTCCAATTAAATGTGTATAACCAGACACGACTTTAAGATTTATCTTCTTTAGCCAAACTTGATCAGGAATTGGAATTCATTGAAGAATGTGGGAAGGAGGGTCATTAGCTTTCATTTTATGTACAATCCGATTAATAACTGATATTTCAATTTTAACTGCTATGCTTTTTCCCAAAAGATATAATCCATTGATTAGTCTTCAAGTTGGTTTCTTTTCAATGTACGAGGGGTGATCAAAAAGTTCACGAACTATCTCTATATCTACAAAACCACAGTTCAGATTAGAATGAAACATGGTGCACACATAACCATACACAAGTTCTATAAATAGCGTATGCTGAAGAAAGTTTTGCTCCTTGTTTGTGACGTCACAATGTGAAAATGACGTCACTATGTAGGTCACTTGTGACGAAAAGTTGTTGTCTCAGTCGTACTCGTTAAACAAACGACTGTAAAATTTATTGCATATCTTAGAAAGCCCTTTGCCAAAACATATAATAATTTGTACATAGTTTATGAAGGCAAATGCCTTACTATAAACTTAATCAATGATTGGATTGATCGTTTTAGTGAAGTAATGCAGATGGTTAAAAATGATACATGCCATGTTGCTCTGTGAAAACAAGTTTGGAAAGATACGTGTTTTTAATTAAGCAATTTGCTACCAAAGACCTCCAATTAACACTTTGAAAAATAGTTGAATATTTGAACAATAATATAATTAATAAATACATAAGATATCGTTTACTTTCGATTTTAAACATATTAGTTATGATAAAAAGGAGGCAACCATGCTGTATCCACCTTAAATAAACGTCTCTCCGGAGAAAGAAGATTTGTGTTTTAATGGTCGCCATGCTTATTTTCGGAAAGGATATTCTTTTATTACATTTTTTCCCGTGAAATACTGTGATTTATTCATTGAATAAAAATAATATCCTGTCACAGTGTGAAAGGATATCAAAATGATATCCTGTCACAGTGTTACGAATATCAGAAGTGCGGGAAAACTCTCGATCTCCCTTCCCATAACGATGATTGCTATAAAAAAAAAAGCTTCCTTGACCTAATATAAGAAAATGGAGATAATAATCAATTCTGACAGTGAATAAAACTGTCAAAATTACCAAAAATATGTTGCTAAATCCATGTTTACCGTGCTTTCACATTACATAGCTATGACGTATCAACCGCTCAACTATGACGTCACGAGCCTATGACTGTATTACAAAAAGACAGGCAAAGAAAAAATCAATGATTTATTTTAATAAAAATGTAATAAACAGAAAATTCAATATTTTGTAGTTGAATATGGAATTTATTTCACGAGTGGGACAGGATTTTTTGATATTTTCACTCGTGCTTCGCACTCGTGAAAATATCAAAAATCCTGTCCCACTCGTGAAATAAATTCCATATTCAACTACAAAACATTGAATATCCTCTATATCTACCCATTCTGTTGCCAAGATTTGACCATTTCTGACAATGAACTGGTCTTATTATGAAAATTTACTTACATGGATAAGAATATAACACTCAGAAAAATCTTTCAGTTTTTGTGACAAAACGCTATGGAGGGTGTCACGTGACCGCCAATATCACGTGATTCGCACATGCGCAGAACAGTGGCATATGTGCATAAAAATTGGAGAGGACTAATTTAAAATATAATCAACACTGAAACCAAATATGGTTTCTTTTATGGAAGTTATTCAATTAGTTCGCGAACTTTTTCATCAACCCTCGTATAATCAAAGCACACTAGGTGATGCGTTTGAAACATTGTTTTTGGATCAAAAAGTCATCATTTCAGTTAGTTGAGAGTATCATTGGATTGAAGAGTTATAAGCGAAACATTGGTAAATTCGATTTCATTTTTTTCTTTCAAAACTATTTTTTTAATCCATTTTGTATATAATACTTTCTGATCTCCAAATTTAAGAGAAGGATCAGGTACAAGTTTCCCCTAATGACTAGTCACATCCGCCAAAAGTCCTATACATTATAGATAAATAGTCAAATACAGTATAAAAACAAGGGCCTAATAATTGGTAAAAATGTTTTAGTTATTTCCCGATCATGACAAGAAGCACACGACGGGTGTGATCGGTTGGTAGGGAATGCTCAATCCTCCATGGCACCTGATCCCATCTCTGATGTTTTGGAGGTCTGTGTTTGCCCAGCTCTTTTTTTGTATTATTCTACGGACATTCGATCTTGAATACTTTTTGTTATCTCCATAGATTTCATTCTATACTAAACCAACCGTGAAATTGATTTGATTACCATTTTCGTGTAAATATGTACAGAGAAATTTGTGCTAAAGTTACGTCACAATGTGAATGCCGAAACTTTGATAAAAAATAATAAAGGTACAGGGCAGTCATAAATTCAAATACAAGGTATCTTTTTTGTGCTTTAAAAATAGTAAAAGTAAATATAAGAACAGTTACTGTTTTTTTTTTTAAGTTGAGCATGTTTTGCGCGAAGTATTGGTTTGTGAATCACACAGACTCGCACGTAGGCATATTTTTCAAGAATAGCTATCACACCTTAGAAAATACCAGTATGCCTATGTGACAAGTCTGACAGTGTGTGATTTACACACCGATTACTTACACAAAACTTAAAAACATTTCTTAAATATCGACGACGTGTGATCAGTTGACAAAGAATATGGTGAAGTAGAAATATAAAAAATAAACATAGTCTGAAAAAATTCTTTCTTATTTTACTAGAAAGAGATCTCAATAGTAATCCAAATCCAAGCTGATGACGTTTACTTTTTTTATCGTCAATATCCCTTACTTACGCAGTTCTCAGTATACATGTACTTAATTTTGCATACGAGGATTATATGTCTCTCGGTTAATTTAATATGTAAGTGCATACTGTTGTGAGATGTGTTGTATTTTTATTATTTCATCAT